GAAATGCCACTGTAGTAATGGACAGAAAAGACTACGAAACAAAATTGACAGACCTACTCCAAGACTCCACATACAAACCCATAAACACAGACCCAACCACATATCTGGAAAAATTAACCAAGAAGAAAATTATAACCAGCCACATAAGCAAAGAGATCCAACACACGATCATACCCAGAGAGAAATCTTCCAGATGCCCCAAACTATATGGCCTCCCAAAAATACACAAAGAAGGCATACCTCTCAGACCCATAGTCAGCTCCAGAGGAGCACCACTACAAAACCTAGCTAAACACCTAGCAAAAGAGCTACAGCCCCATGCTGAAACAGCAGCTTCTCATGTACAAAACTCATACCACTTCTTGGAAATGATCAAAGATCTACACGTGGAGCAAGAAGATCTGCTTGTAAGTTTTGACGTGGTTTCACTATTCACTCAAGTCCCGATAAAAGAGACCCTTGAAATCATCAAAAATAAATAAAGCCATTTCTACCCGGAAAAGCTCACCGGAAGCGCTGGCGCCGCCATCTTTTTTTGATGAAAAAGTGCTTCCGGTGAGGTCACCGGAAGCACTTTTTCATCAAAAAAAGATGGCGGCGCCCAGCTAATGCCGGTACCGGGCCGCGCCATAAAAACGGTTGGGGATACTGGGCCGCGGCGTAAAAAAGGTTGGGGATCACTGTTTTAAAAGAAAAACAAGTTGAGTTTAACTTAGATGGCGCTCTTTATTATACTAAATCGTCACCTCCTCTTTTCTTTTTTCTTCTCTATTATTCAGAGCTTTTTAAATCAGAGTTTTCTAAAAGAAAAAAAGATCCAATCCAATTAATATTAAATTTCCTCTTTAACAATCTATAGTTCAGCTTTAATAGTGCCTATATAGAATCAAAATATACTTATCCAAATTGATTATATAATTTCTTCTCCAGCTTCTAGCTTTCATGATTCAAAGCCCGACTGTCAAAAGCAATTCAGACCCTTTTTTTCTCTTTCTCTTCACCACTTTAAATCCTTTAAAAATTCTTTGAAATGTTAATCCTGGGGGTATCTTCCATTTAATTATATTGTCCTGTTCCTCCTGCTGTTCGCTTCCTTCTCTCTCTCCTGTGCAGTCTTATTCCAGTCAAATCTTCCCCTTCAGGGTGGCCATTTTAGACCACCACTTCAGGCATCTTTGGGAGGGACTAAATGCCAAGCCAGGGAGGGGATTTGCGACTCCCCTCTACCCAGCTGATGGTCTCCCCTTCCTCCACTGCCCCTACGAGGCAGATTCTTCCCCAAATCCAAAGGATAGGGGCTCTCTGATGCCAAAGCATGGACCAAAGCCGCGCATGATCGCAGTCAGCGGTCCATCTTCGGGGAAGCTCAAAACTGGAAGCCATTGTAGGACCTTTTCAACTCACCAATCAGTGAGTTATATACAGTTTTTTTATAATCAATCCAATCCAATCCAATTGTTTCTACCTGTAGAAACTCTGAGTCCCATCCATCAAATAGTTTTCTTATGAGAAGTAAGATGCATGCCAACTCTATTGTTGTGCTTGCTCTCTGAAATGGTATCTCCCACCCATTTTTTCATAAGCTTCAAAAAACTTGGTTGTTTTCACAAGCTGTGCGATAGTGTGGAGCCCATTTTAGTTTAATTTTTTTCTATTTTAGGATTGTGGGTTTGTTTTTTTGGTTTTCCATGTTCTCTTTTTGTATGTATTGTTTTTCTTCTATATGTAAGCTACTCAGAGTCATCAAGTCATGAGAAGGCCTCTAATTGGTTCTAATTAATTGATTATTAATAATAATAATCCATAGTATAAATTGCATAGTTGCTCTAATTTATTAGTGTTCTCACATATAACAGTTGATACAGGTATGTATGCTTTTTAGGTTAAGATTTGGGATAGCAATGTCCATGTATTTATTCACACAATTCACAATTCACACCCACGTGAATAGAAACACACTTACACTTAATTCTTTTCTTCTCACACAATCTACCCAAATATTCATTTCTGAATTCGAGGAGTAGACTCATCCGAGACATCCAGGTAATAAGTTGGCTGTGAAAAGAAATAGATGACTTGATTTCCTGCTATTAATAGTAGTAGGAAGCCATCTTCCAGACTGATCAGTTCACCAGTAGGAAAAAGTTATTTCTATGCATTGAATCACAGCTTCAAAGGGGAAAATGCAACTAAAACAAATGACTAACACTTGCATTTTCCAGTGCATTTTTCAATCAAAAAGATCTGAGAGCTTGGAAAGAACATTTGGGCTTTCTGAGTTTTGCTGCTAATGAATGCAAACATGTCCCTCCTGTAGCAATTTATGTTTCAGGAGGTTAATTTGCTTAATGTAGCAATTATGCCAAAAATAATCTCTTAATCTTATGGGATTCTGAATGCTAGTGTCAAAACCAATGGGCCATTCTTGTTTCTAAGAGGCTGCACTTCCTTTAAAAATGTAGCTAATACTGGAAGGAAATAAAGCTTGCATGTTGATATGTTAGCTTCCTGAAATTGAAATTTGCTGAAGCTAATATTGTGGGTCACGTGCAATGCAGAAGCAAGCAAAAATCATGTTTCATAGGCATATATAAACAGATACATATTTTATGGAGCCCCAATTCTTCTATGATTTTTTTTTTTTTTTACTAAAACAGTGGGTTAAAATGCATTTTAAAAAATGACAGCTGTATTGATTATTTAATGGAGAACAGAAAAACAAATAGGGGTCAGAATGCTGGAATAAGCCTGCTTAATGCTCTCCTGTGCTACAAACCCATTATCTATAATGATAAACCCCACTCTGCAATCCTTATTAATGTTTAATAAGTGCAGAACAACACTAAGCTAAATTACATGTCAACATGGCCCAAGGCTTCTGTTTAGAAAGCATATGAGATTCTGAAGGGATACTTGATTTCCCCAAGCTCCAGTTGAATATGAGAAGAGCAGCAATAAGCATTATTTCCCATTTGCTCCTTGATGTCCCACTATTATACTGGCATTAAAAAAAACAGCAATTCATGGCAGGCATTCTGACTAAACAGAAAGTGCTGTATCATGACATGAACTTCTCCTTGTCTAGTTAATTAGGATGGTAGGTGATTTCCTCAGACTTTTTTGACTTCTATTTTCCCATATCATGGAGCATGGTCAGCAGGAATGACAAATTTAGCAAATGGTATCAAACCAGCTTAATAGGCCTGTATTTTTGGGGCCTGTGTCTATAGCACTCTATTGAGCTGTCTTGTCGAGACATTGGTCACTAGGGCAGTATATAAATCTTAAAGTAAAATGTTACTTCAAGAGTTTCATCTGTACTCATTTTTTCAAATGTATAAAGAAATCAATCTTAGCCAATCAGTGCTTTGTTGGAGTAGTATCTATCGATCTATCAATCTATCATCTATTTATATTCCACCTTTATTATTTTTACCCTTAAGGATATGGTGTTAAATATGTACAATATATATATCTTTTCCACCTTCTTTCAGTAGTAGTTATGAGGAATTCATTAGAAGGAGACCTTGGTGCAAGGGAAGGGGAAAGCATCAGTGCTATATATGAAAATAGAAACAACTTTTCCAAAGAGATTGCAGGATTAAAAATGTTCATTGAGGCCACAATCTGGGGGAAAAGGATTCACAACACCAATCACTATCATGGCTTTCATTTAAGTTTCCTTATTAAGTACTTGCATGTTTTTAATATCATCAGGTAACCTTCATATCAGGACATGGCAGCAAATTGCAGTTCTCCAGACACTTAATCCCTTACTTAGCAACTGGATTACTTGGCCAAAGACTGTCATGTACAACATGGCTAAATTAGATTCTACTTCAGGCAAGAATAAAACCACAGGGAGAGAAATTGTTTGCTTTCTGCAATGCAAAGAAGTTCAAGCTTTCAAATAGGTATATGCTCCAAACTTCACATTCTATGCATTTTCCTTCTAACTTTCTGAGCTAACAGACACATGGTTGTTCACTTGGTGGCCTTGAACTGAATCACTGAGGCATATTTCTGTAAAATTCTCTCCAGCCTAGGAACTGCTAGTTGCTATCACATCAGATTTATGGTTAGCTTGGCTTTCAGTAAACCAGTCAAGTAAATGTAATTAAGAAAAAAAAATCCTGAATGCTAAATATGTATCCTTGGCAGGAAATCTGAATTTATTTTTACATGAATGTACTTCAAACTGCCTCTCACACTTAATATGAAGCTTTGTCTATATATGGACAAAGACTATATTATTTTATATTAAATTTCAGGCACATAATTTGTAATTACATTCAGTGTTCTTGATGTTTGAGACTGCAATTGCAAAGGTGAAGTCCAAGCAATTTAGTGAAAAAATCTGTATCTTAATTGATATTAACTCATCATGAAAGAATTAAATAACTTTAGGCAATTTGCTTTCATAATACTTGAATTAAAGTAATGCTCTCCATACAACTTATTTATGTGTTTTGGGTATGTTTGTGTGTTTGTACTTATGATAAATAATAGCATAGAAAATTTACAGTAAGTTTCTTTTCAAGAAGCATTATCTTACTTCAGCTAGTTGTGTAAAGATCATATAGGAAACACATCCCCATTTGCATAATTATTTTTTGGCTTCTGAAAATTAGAGATTAATGTAGTCTATGAACTAAAATAAAGATTCACACTAAAGCTGAAACTAGCAAGCATGGTCTATATATAATTGTGAGCTATATAATGTTGAAATTATAATTTTAAGCTGCTTATAAATTATTCTGCCAATGTTTTTAGTTTTAAAGAATGTAAAAGAAATTGGATTTAACAAATATAGTAAATGTGTGATATATGAGTAGGTTGAAACACCTTCTAAAGTAAAATTTCTGCAAGGATGCTACTTTGTAAAATGCACAATAAGCATCAATTGTATACTATTCTTTAGCTCAATACTATTGTTACATAAAGGCTGAAATACCCACAATCTCTCTAAGCCCATGGCATAAATCACTTTCAGCATCAATATGGAAGATATAAAAGAAGACAAAGAAATGATTGATAAATTCATTAAAGTATGCTGTGGTTTTCATTGTATAAGCAATAAATATATAATTCTTATTTCATCTTGGGAACCCTTTTTTTTTTTAACTATTACCATCTGGCAGACAGTACAGAATAACAAAAATAAGGACAAATAGGCTGAAAAACAGCTTCTATCCCAGGGCAGTAGCTCTTTTGAATTCTGCTATATGGTGCAGTGTTGGTGTGGTGTTGGGGGTTTTAGGTTCAATGTGTCGAGGGTGAAGGATGTGTGTTTGTGTTTATTTCATGGTCATGACGTGCACTGAAGATGGTGTTTGATTTCATTGTACCAGGTACAGTGACAATAAACTACACTAAACTAAACTAAAATCACTATTATTTTAATTATGTTTATTGACCTAAACAATGTTTGGCAATAAGGTAAATGTGTGATTTGTTTACTTATGAAATTAGTATAGCCACCCATTTTGCCAAAAATGAATCTGGATAGTACACAATATTGTTGTTATTAATTGCATCATTCATATGGTTAATATAGCCTCACAATACAATATCCTAGTTCATTTAGTGAATATGATTGAAATTACCTGTTCGGCAATTTGCACTCAAAATTAAAGTATTCACAACTGATAATTTATGTTCTGCAAAAGTCTGTTTGCTTTATCTGAGATATTTTTTGCTAGTAATCCCCAAATATATGATAAATAATTTTTCCAGATTATAGTGAATCAGTTTTAAAGATAACAACAGCATCCAGTATATATAAGCATTGATTTCCTTTTTATAGAGGTCAAGCAGCTTTGGAAAATTTGACCATCACAGACATCACTCAACATCAAAACCAAATGATTCATCCGAGGTTTGTATACTGTGCAGTCTAGTTCATTTACATCACATCCCTTTGACTTTTCAAGATATAATGGAAGGCATATTTTGTACAATAATCAACTTAGCTCCATTTGATTAAAGTTTATGACCTCTAAAATAAGTGTTTAGTTGTAGAAAAAAAGTAACCCCCCACTCCACATTATCCATAATCAAAATGCGAATTGTTAAACCAGAGTGCATGAAGTTGAAAGGGTCTGTGGTATTATTAATTAATTATACTAGTGCTTGCTGTTTTGTAGATCTTGAAATGCTACAGTCATACCTGACCAACCAACATATCTTGGTTCATTTTTGATACTCTGCTAAATTTTACTCCTCTTCCAGTGGGAGAAGTCAAGAACTTCTGTTTTTAAAACATTTAAAACCTCCAAAAGAAGTGAAAAGAAGGATTAGTGTAATAACAAATCTCTTGTACCAAATGCCATGCCTTGTATTTCTCTTGCAGGCTCTGGGGTTACTCTGGCATTATGAAGATTTTTATATTTCTTTCTTCTCTCACTGAAGCAAAACATTTATTTTTTAGTAGAAAAGTTGTGATTGCATTTGCAGATTCTTACTGATGGAACTCTTGCTATGAGAGAAGTGGAGCTCTATTTCAGGTGATATGTTGCCATGTAGACTCCAGCCAATGATTTTCATTATGACATCACTGAATAAACATGTCATTCACAAATACAACATAATTAATTGCAATGGAAAGCTTGAGATTACAGAATTCTGGTTCATGTAGAAACCTGCGTGTATATACCATTCCGACTGCAGACAACTGCAATTATTTATGGATGGTTGGCTGTGTCACAGCATAATTTAGAGAGGGGAAGTATGGTTCACTGAACTCTCAGGCAAATATATTACCTGAATAGAGCTGTGTGTGTGTGTGTGTGTGTGTGTGTGTGTGTAATTATTAAAAGCTTTTCTTTCTTGCCCTCTTTTTAAATAGCTAGATGAAGTATATGCCACATGTGATGGCACAGAATTGAGACAAAACAAACCCAACAATGGAGGAAGCATTGGAAAAAAGATGCGAGCCATTTCTCTGACTATGAAGAAAAAGATGGGTAAAAAGTACATTAGGGCACTTTCAGAGGAAATGGTAAACTTTTGTTTTAATTTACTGTTTTGCACCCTGAGACTCAGGCTTCATTTTTTTTTCTTTTTATGCAAGTTCTTGGCAAATTATATATAATTTATAATTTTACCTTTCTGTAAAATGATCATTTAGCCAACTACAGCAACTCTGACTCTAATTATGCAAATCACATATATTTACAATTGCAATACAACATCTACTCAGAAAGACTGGATCAAAAATGCACTAAAAAGACAAAGCAAGAAGAAGACAGAAAACACACTTTATTTTAACCATTATTTTGTTGTAGCTTGCTTGCATACTTGCAGTGTTCCATATCTAAGTATATGGTACATGAAAGAAATTTAAGGTTTAATATAAGGTGCCTGAATTTTAAGTTTTTTGCTGCTAAGTACTGAATATGTCATTAGCTAAGATTAACCCTCTGATAAATACCTTCATTGGGCAAAATTTTAAAAAGCAAAAAAAAAAAAAACCTTCTGTGGATAACTCATTGACTAAATCTTAGATCCTTGTAGGCATGTTCCTCTAGTTACATTTCATAGATATTCTCACACCACAGCCATGAAACAAAAACAAAAAAACATTTCTGGCTTTCCATGAGAACCATGTTTGGTTCTTCCCATACATGAGGGTATAGCAAAAATTTGTTTTTTATGCAAACCATAACTTCCTCTCAGAGCATTCCTTTCTCCAAAGATAAAACAGAAAAACATAGCTCCTTCCTATTCAAGTTATCCAAAAAAACAAATTGCGGACACCAATTTTCAAATATAAGTAACTTCTTTTCAGAAATCAGATAACTCATACTCACAGCTTTAATGAATGTTCAGAAGGTTCTGGGTAAGGACATCATGTTGGAAAGGCATGCAGCAAAAAAACTAGTGATATAATTCTAATAGATGGAAAAGCAGAAAGAGGCTCTTAAGACTTTCCTTGCCTCCGTTTCTTCTTCTCCAGAATCTCATACTTTTTTATATTGTGAAGCTAAAATTGAATTGGAATTCCTTTCATGGAAATATTTGTAAAAGCAGCCTTCTTACTTGTTATATTTGTAATGTATGAATTTAGAAAATTTTCTGAGGACACAAAAATGCATATGGGACATATTCAGAAGAATTCTATGTTGATTTACTTATTCCTTTTATAAGGTAATTATAGAATTGCCTAGTATATTTTATTCAGCAACATATGCATATAATATGAACCATATCTTTGTTCAAATTAACATTTGAAACAGATATTAGGCATATACAATCAAATATGTTAGCTTTAAAATATGTTCAATGAAATGTTGTTCAACAAAATTAAAAAAATATGTGGAAACAGTTCAGAGAAAGTTTGTAAAATGAAAGGGCAGGATTTGCTGAAAGTACTAAAGACGGCTGCGAGGAATTTTTTTAAATGAGTCTAGCAGAAGGTAGACAGAATAGACCAAATATTCAATAAAGCAAAGATATGTATCACAAAATATATAAACATAACCCACTTTTAAAAATGCATTGTGAAGGACTGAAGAAAGAAATTGTTTCTGGAAATGCCACAATGATGTCCTGAGAAAGAAAACAATGCTAGTGATCTTTATTCAAAGGACAGAAAATAATACACCCAAGTTCCCGCTATAAGTAAAATGCATGTTCATAACTCCTTCATGCAGCCTATTGTGGGAACAATATAGTACAGCTATATTCAATGATTTCCAATAGAAAATCTTAAATATATCATGCATAGAAACAAATTTGTTTTAAGATTTAAGAAAAAGAAAAAATGGGTCAGTTTTATTTAGGAGTTAGTAACAGAGCTGTTAGTAATAGTAAATGACATTATATAAAGTATTTGTGAAGCTATTGTTACACAATTATTTATCAAATGGTATGTAATGACCATGTAAAGTCTTGCTATTGTAATGCTTGTCTGAAAGCAATTAATTAATTAACATGCCATAAGTTACAAAGTGGATATTGTATAATGAAGAGCAACATTAAAAAAAATGTTCTCTCTCTCTTTATTTCTCAAGAATGAAGGGGGGGAAAGTTTTTCTACCTCAAATAGGGACAGTCACCCTGGAGGAGAAGCAATCACAGCTTCTATAAAGGCAAGTGACTCCATGGACAGCCTGTATAGTCTTAATAGCGGCCAAAGTTCTTCAAGTAAGTAAAAAAATAGTTATATAAAAAGTATATGTGCATGTGTAACTGACTGAAAATGTTAACCTTATTCAAATAATATCCTGAAAATAATACAGCCCTTTTCTAGTCCAGAAATTGTAGATGATCAGCCTGTAGAGAATTCTAGAAGTAAATATTCCAGACTTTTCCAAGTTATGTCCTCCAAGCAATCTATAAATAAAAAAGTTTGGATATTCTCTGCATAATAATAATAAAATATCAATGCATACTTGCAGATTCACAATAAAAAATAAATATGGCAAATGTAGGTCTTTGGAAATTCTCCAAAGTGATTCATTACTATTTTTTTACAACAGTGTAAAGTATTAATAATATCACAAAAGGTGATTGATGTATTAGACATACAATTAGCCAGGGGGAGATAGTCCCAAAGGTGAGAAAATATATAATCTCTGAGTTTATTTTACAACCATATTTGCTATGATTATTAAGTGAATCATTACAGCTGTTAAGTGAATCATAAATTCATTCAGTGAATCCAGCACCATTGAATTTGTTCCTCGAAAGCTCACTAGGAAGGGTGGTAATCGTGATACAACCATCATAAATGCATGCCCATTGCCAAGAACCCAAATTTTCACCATGGGGATGCTACAACAAACATAAATGCAAGGATTAGCCATAAATCACTTTTCAGTTTTGTTGGAACTTCAAACACTTACTAAATGAACAGCTATACTGTAAGTTGAGGATTACTTGTAAAATGTTTCCAGGTAGCTATTTCCATAGTAAGAAACTGTTAAGAGATTGGGGTTATAGGAAACTTGGCAAGATTCAGAAGACCAAGAAAAAAAATTTGTGCAAAAATGGCTAAATTGGCAATTCAGAACCCACAGATCTGCAAATGAGCTCCTTAAAATTTTAGCTGATGCTGGAGTTGTTGTTCAATCCTCTGCAATACAATATTGCTTATACAGCAATATTCTGCATGTAAGAGTTGTCAGAATATAATCTTTACTCGATTGCATTACAAAAATCATTGTCTAAAGCAGGGGTCCCCAACCGCCGGTCCGCGGACCGGTACCGGGCCGCGGAACAAGCCTTACCGGGCCGCTGGTTGCTGGGCGCCGCCATCTTTTTTTTGGTAAAAAAGCGCTTCTGGTGAGCTTTTCCGGGTAGAAAGCTCACCGGAAGCGCCTTTTCGTCATAAAAAGATGGCGGCGCCCAGTTGACGCCGGTACCGGGCCGCGGCGCCCAGCTGATGTCGGAACCGGGCCGCGGCGTCGAAAAGGTTGGGGATCCCTGGTCTAAAGTATGTCTGAATTAGTTTGAAATGTTTGGAAACAAAGTGCTTTTGATTGATGAAACACAAACTTTTGGCCACAATGTAACAAAGCACATTTGGAGAAAACAAAATGAAGCATTTGAAGAACAGAATACCTTGCTGAATCTTCCTAGTTGCTTGGCCACGAAATATGATGTGGGTGGAAACATAAATTCAACTAAAATAGCTGAATACTTATACATTTTATTGGAAGTGAGCCCTACTACTATGGGGGTTAGGTCTAGTCATGAGCATGGTATATAAAATGCCGTTTCTTTCATTATATCAGTATAAAGTACATGTTAGGACCTGCTCTATCTGATTGTCAATACACATAAAAATTATGAAAGACCTATTGTCTGGTGGGACTCAATGCAGAGGTTCTGACCAGTTCTGGAGAATCGGTAGCGGAAATTTTGAGTAGTCCAGACAATCAGCAAATACCACCTCTGACTGGAGATTTTACAGTCTCCTTCTCCTGATATGCCCACCAAGCCACGCCCACAGAACTGGTAGTAAAAAAAAAATTGACTCCCACCACAGACTCAATGGTCAAAGAGCAAAAACTGATATTTTACTGAATAATTCTTATATAGCCCTTTATACTGTCATTCTGTCCCATAGAGTTGCCTTTTTATGTTTTTTTTTAAATAGAAACCCAAATAATTCTTCATTCTAAAGCAGAATGGTTCACTGACATACCAGTTCAATTTTCATGCCTTAGGTCTAGACTCTAGGTCAATCATATTTTCAAATAAACATAGTTTCTGCCAGTTGAAGTGCTCAAATACAGGATAATATTTTGCAGATGTTCATCTTTCTAATACTTTTAATAGGGAGCTCTAAGGGTTTGCATGAAACAGAAAATGTATTTTATTTCAGATGGAAAAAAATACACCCTTTGTATTTTGAAATTCTATCGCATTATAAAGATTGGCAGACCTGAAATCCAGACCATTCAGTTTCTTTTGCATTGTGGATAAAACAAAATATGGGATAAGTTGGACAAGGCGGATTCACTTTGTTCCTCCCTCTCTTCTGTGCCAACAATACCTTTTCCCAAAGGTGGGATTCTATAGGTTCGAACCGGTTCGGTAGAACCAGTTGTTATGATTCTCCGTAGTTCGGAGAACTGGTAAATCAGGCCTCTGGCTGGTTTCCGCCCCACTCTGCCTGCTTCTCTGCTCCCTGCCCAGTCAGTCCCTATCACACCTGCGCAACATCATGCATGTGCACGATATGCCTGCAACCTGCTTTTGCCTGCCTGCCAGTCCAGCCATTGCTGCCTGCCTTTCGCTGCAACTCTGCCCGATGTGATGATCTCCCTGGGTGAGTGCAAGCCCCAGTCGCCTTTCCCCCACCACTTGCCTTTTGTTTTGCCCCCTCCCTCCTCCCATCACTTGCCTTTTTCCACTGCTGCCAGTCGCCTTTCCCCCACTACCACCACTTGCCTTCCACTGGGGAACACGTGGAGAGGCTCCTGTTGGCTCCAACCAGGTCAGCGGCTGCTTAACTCACCTGCTGTTCTAGCTGGGAGAGTGAGGGAGCCTCTCCCAAGAGTGAAAAGCTTGCAAGTCCCCCTCCCTTCAGAATGGCTCCTATGCAGCAGAGAAGCAGTCTGGTTGAGGGTCTTGCAAGCTTTCCCAAAGGGGGATCAAGCAGGAGAATTTAACTTGAGGCTATTCCCCCTCCCCATGCTTCATCTTGAAATTACTTTAGTTGACTCGCAGTGAGGATGGGTGCCCAAGGGTTTACATGGAATCTGATACAAATGTGCAGCATATCATGCTATTTACACCCAGCTGCTCTTCGCCCCAATCATATGAAGCAGGGCATGTAAATGCAAAGGAAACACCAAAGTGTGTGAAGACCGCTGGCTCTGCCTCTTCTACAGGGAGCAAAATGAAATTGGGCTTTTAAGCATAGCATACCCATCTGTCTTACCCACCTCTTCAATCTTCCCAGTTCCTTTCTTTCTCTGTCTTTTAGCCATCATCGCTGTTGGTGTCCTGGGCTTCAAGTGTAGCCTATACAATCAGTCCATCCATTTCCCAGCTGTTACCACCATGCCTCCTCCTGCCAGTACTCTTGTTGCTATTCCTTCCTTCCCCAAAAGCATTTGTTGTGCCTAGATTAAATGTCCTTCTATGTGTGCCAAGGCCAAACAATTAAACCAAAATCAACCATGGTTAATGCATGGAATGTTTTTCCATCTCTCTTTTTGCATTTCTAGTGAACTCATCACATTACTAAACATATCTTAAAATCAACCATGTGGATATCTCCAAGAAGATGAATTTTGGGGGCTTCTAAACATATTTCTCTCCTTAGTGGTTTTTCTGCAATTAATAAAAAAGTAAAGCAGTTCTAAGAAATCATTGAAAGCAGAGGTGGTATTCAGCAGGTTCTGACCAGTTCTGGAGAACCGGTAGTGGAAATTTTGAGTAGTTCAGAGAACTGGTGAATACCACCTCTGACTGGAGATTTTACATTATCCTTTCCCTGCCATACCCACCAAGCCACACCCACAGAACCAGTAGTAAAAGAATTTGAAGGTTACAAATTAAAAGAGAGACTGCCTGAATTGTATTAATACTATGAAATGGGGTACTGAAGAACTAAACCATCATAAACTTTGCAGAAACATTGGTATTTCATCTCATTATTAAACATTGTGTGCTATCTTATAATTGTATATATATCTAATGTTAGTGCATGGAGACATTTGTCCAATATGTTTCTTAGATGAATTTAATTTCCCTATTTGGGTTTAATTCAGAACAAGGTTCACTGTAACCAGATGCATCTAACATCCATATGCTATTAAAACTCTCACGTCTGTTTGTCTATTGGTCACCTTCAATTGTGCAAAACCGTGCATCACAGGATAGCAACTGTTGAACCAAGATACCTGAAATTGGCCAATTTATAGAATGGATTCAAAATGAAGAACACATTACTCTTATTTAATTTTGGCAAAGTTGTAACCACTTTAGTGTTGTACTAAAACTGCTATACTACACTTCCCAGAAAGGTTGGTAGGTTGCACGGCATAAGAGAAGTTAGGAGGAACATATTCCCACCCTCTTTCTTATCTTCCTCTGATCCCTCATCCAATTGGGCAAGTGGCGATTGACTGTTTTGGAACTAAAGCCAAAACTTAACAGCAGTGGGCAGCAAGGGAAGGAAAAGGGAACATCTCAGATGTCTGCTGGCAAGTTAGGACTGGCTGAGGGGCACCAGCAGCCAAAGGATGAATGCTCATCTCTTTGAAGGGTGGGGACCCTTGGAGATATGCCAGGATGGGCAAGCAAGGATGGCCCATTGAGCCTTTTGTTCCTTCTACCCCAAGCAAACTAGTAGGCAGTTCAGCATGTCAACCAAGGAGGCAGCTTCAACAAGTGTCTCCTGAGAGTTGTGAGAAGAGGGGAAACAGCCTATATTATATATGGAAAGGAGGATGACCCAATGGGTGATCTAGTTTCTTTTAAAATCCTGTTGTCACAAAAGAAGGCATAGGTTTATTTTATCATTGCCCTACTTCTGAATTTAATTCCTGTTGCCTAACTTCCTTGTAAAGTTTTCAGAAATATCATGATCTAACAAGTCTATTTAGACAGCTCCCAGATATATTTAAGAAAACTTATCAGGTATGATTATTTACTTGTTATGTATGCTGTTTTGGAGAAAATATATT